TAGGTGTTAAAAATTGACAATGATATATTTTGGTTAAAATGAATTGGTAATTTTATAATTTAGATGTAAAATGAATAAACATTCGAAATTGTATAAATACTATAAATTCAACATTATAATATTCCGAGGGGTAATAATAGACAACTACAAATATTCAGACATTTAYTGATTTACACAAGTGTTATCAATCAATAGTGAAATAAGATTTCAAAGTTGATCATTTTTTAAAAACAAACCACACCTTAGTGATTTTTTTGCTTAGGTTTGGTTCTGGCCCACTCACTAACACTATGCCACGATAATACAATATTTCAACCAACATTTCAACTGCACAACCTCCTGGWCGTGCAGGTCCAAGTGACGCAAAACAAAGGTACACAAGTTTKTGAGTCGTATATGTTGTGCGAGTTTGGAAAGCGATTTCTAGGTCATRTCGACCTCTATGGGGTAGAGGGTTTTCCAAAAGAATCATTATCGTGAATTWAGTAGCTATAAGTGTTTGGTAATAAAGCTAGGCATTAAGTATGTTCTGGTTATGACACGTAGGTGCTACTTTAAGGGAGCAAAATCAAGCTATGTGTCGAGTGAGTACCATATACTTTACTAAGATGTATGGAATGATTACGTGATGTAACGKTGTGAGCTTGTGCATGCTACCGTGCTAAATAAAGTAGCGAGCATGGTAACATCCGATGTATGAGTGTGAGAATGTTCTTATACGTTGACGGTGTGACGGAAAAATATTTATTGAAATAATCATATAAAATAGTGTCATTTATGTTATTTAATTAAAATTAAGATGATAAAAGTTATTTGGTTTTACGATAATACCCTTTGCTTTATTTTGTCTTGTTGTAATGGAATAGTGTACATAACAATCGCACCTTTTAACGCTGCATACATGAATCATTAATCATCCATATCTCATCKACGGCTCCAATTATTTGAAATCATTAGCAGACAGTAAAGTTCACCCTGTTCCTGCACACACATGATTCCTGCCCCTCTTCCAGTATTTGAGCGCTTTTTACGTTAACATATTCACACAATCACAAAACACAGAGGAGGAGATACACCGCCGGAACCCACATACACTGGTTGCCGGAAAACCAAACTCCTCCCCTCGTGTGAAACTACACATCCTTATTTATCAAATCCACCTATATATATATATATATATATAGAGAGAGAGAGAGAGAGAGAGATGATGTGGGAAGGGGGATCATCGACGACGGCGGCGGCGGAAGGAGGTGGAGGTAGTGGAGGAGGGAGGAGGAAACCGTCGTGGAGAGAGAGAGAAAATAATCGGAGGAGGGAGAGACGAAGGAGAGCCATTGCAGCGAATATATATAATGGGTTGAGAGCACAAGGGAACTACAATTTACCCAAACATTGTGATAACAATGAGGTTTTGAAGGCTCTCTGTAAAGAAGCTGGTTGGGTTGTTCTTCCTGATGGCACCACCTTTCGCAAGGTATACTGTTTTTTTGTTTATTTTAAAATTAATCAGATATTCTCCAAAACAGTTTTTAGATGGAGTAAAACCCTCCTTCAATCGAGGAATTGGTTTTCCTTGATCTGCATTTATGTCCASTGGTTGGATCTACGGTTTTTATGAACTGGGGTTCGATGTTTCWGTTATATTTTTCTAGATTCCTTCTTAAATGCGAATTTAAACCACCGATTTCTTCGTTTCTGGGGTTTGATTTGTGAAAATGGACGGAAATTTCAAGTGGGTGATTTCGTTTATGTAGGATTCTATCTGTAATTGTAGATTTTTGTGTTTTAAATGGCGGATCTACTCATTTAATTCGATTCACACCAAGAAATAATTACGACTTGCATATAYCATCTTAAATTTAAGTTTCTTTAGAAGAATTTTACATGTTCTTGATGTTGCACATTTTGTAATGTTGGGACTTGAAGAGGTTCTTGAAGACGATGCCAAATGCTGAGGATTTCATGTTGAAAAAACTTGCAGAATGAGTTCATACTTGCTAGTTAATCACTGATTAAGCTTTAACTTAGAGAAATTTGCAGAAATTAAAGATTTGTTGAAATTTACCARATGATTGTGGTCTTGGATCTTACCAATCATATGGTGATGTTGAGTTTTTGTTATCTATTTTATAACTTCCATCTTGATCTGAATCCACAGGGATGCAAGCCACCACCCTGCATCGAAATGGGAAGCACATCAACCAACACAACCCCATGTTCTTCCCGAAAACCGAGCCCCCCTTCCTCATCATTCCCTAGCCCATCACACCACCGGTTCGCTTTCTTTCACGACTCGATGCCATCTTCACTCCCWCCTCTTCGGATATCAAACAGCGCCCCTGTAACCCCACCTCTTTCGTCCCCAACTTCAAAGCCTCCCCAAAACAACAATCTCATTTGGGAATCTTTAACCAAACAATCAATGACCTCTTTCAACTTGCCATATTTCGCGTCTTCAGCCCCTACGAGCCCAACTCGACAMCAGCGGTTCATGCCCACCACCATACCGGAATGTGACGAATCTGGTTGCACCACCATAGATTCTTGTCAATGGGTGCGGTTCCAGAACCACGAGCCAATGGTTATGAGCCCCAACTCACCCACATTCCACCTGATGAAACCAAAGCTTCCATCCGCGGATGAAATCTCCAATAAAGGAAAAGGGAAAGGGGCAGAATTGGAATTTGAGAATGGAGGAGTGAAGGCATGGGAAGGTGAGAGGATTCATGATGTGGGATTGGATGATCTTGAGCTCACACTTGGAAGTGGGAATGCTAAGTGATTGATGTAGAGATTTAGAGGTTAGTTTACCACTTAATTATTTTTCTTCCCAGAATTTGTTAAATGATTGTAGATTTTGGAGTTCTGTTTTGATTTTTTTGATCTTTTGTTTGTGGATATTTGGATAGTATCTTTCTGTTCCTATGCTATTTATACCCTTTTCTTGCATCCCGTTTAGAGATTGTGGATAAGTTATGATCATTTCAAAAGATTGATCAAAATTATCAACAAATATCCATGATRCTATCCAAATATATTGASAAAGACTCAAGGGAGSCCCATGATACAAAATCATTCAGAGGGTTTTAGAAYYATTAAGAGATARACTTTTTTTGACCAAACAAGATTTACCTCTTMWCGATTCAGAKATTGTCTTTCAATRGAACTATTAAAAGGTAARCAAACGACCCCTTAGATTCTTAAAATATATTGARGAGAAATGGTWTGAATCAAAGCTCTTGTGAATTCCAACAAGCCCCTCCWATAGAGCTTAATGGGATAAAATCTATTTCATTTTTTGATATAGCTCAAGTGGTGAGGTCTTCAATGATTTATTCTTCACTAGTTATCAGTTGGAGATCCTACAAAATTACTAGAAATTTATTAAACTTTTAAATTCGTTACTCCATAAACTTAGAGGGTTGTTTACTAAAACCCTTATCTGGTAAATACTAACAGATCATTTACTTAACTGTATGATATGATAAAGATTGAGAATCTTACTCAATAGAAGTGATAATAAAAGACATAGTCTCTTACGAAATATGTTTAAAGTAAAAAAAAAAAAAAAAAAAAACAAATGGGGGGAAGTGAAGTGAAAGATGATTGTTGTATGAAGTGGGAGAGCCATGTTCCCCATATTTGAGACACAAGTGGCAAAGGGCATGAGACATACCATGACACATCTTAAAGAATTGAAGCAACTTCTCAACCACAACATAAATGATATTTTAAAATATTTAAAGGCATAATGTCCTCATGTTTATTTGTTCCCATGGAAATTGCTTTTTTCATCAAATCTTATATTTTGTTAAAAAAAGTTATTATTAAAATAGTTATGTATATTATATAATAAAGTATTTAGACAAAAATATTAAAAAAGATATTAGTAGGTTCTGTTTAAGGATAAATGATGTAGTGAATTTCAAGTCATAGATGCATATTTAAAAACATAAATTCATAAATAAATTAGACTTGTTAATAAAATAATTCTCATTTTATTATAAACTTTCAATATAAATATTCTGAAATATATTTTCTTAATTTGCCCTTATTATTATTCATGGAATTGTTTGTAGTACATAAACAAATTAATTGAAGACTTATACAATTTACTGATTTTGCAAAAATGAACCTTTCAAAAAAAAAATGATCAAAATGAAATTTATTTATGCTCAGGAAATTAAAATATATATATATTATATTCTAAACAACAATCAATTTTATGTAAATAGTAATGTTTGGCAAGTAAAAGACAAAAACAACTACTTGATAGATTTTCCATATTATTATAACTAAAAATGTGCAACATATATAGAGGGGAATAAATTAGGGCCTAACTTGTCTACTCCCAAATGTTATTTTTTGATATGTCCTCCTATCAAGAGAAAAAAACCAAAAACGTTAAAAAAGTGGAATCATATCCACACAAAAAATGTTATTATTTTTGCTTTTAGGATTCACAACAATTGTTTCAAATTATTTTGGATAAGCGTGTAAATATTTGTTATATYATGGATGTGTTGAAAGTCATACGATTCAATTCGAACCAACTAATTCAATTATAATCAACCGACCAAATATTAGATCTCCAAGCGTTTACATGTCTAGCTGGATTTAGTTGTTGTTTGGTKGTTTTCTCATTAAGACCCGTATAGATTTGGCTGTTTGGATGTCTCATAATCTCACCATTTAGATTCTAGATAGAAAGAATGTCACAAACCACAAGAATCTAAGCAATGTTCATGAATACAAACCAAACTGTTAAACCATGTCAACAAGAAATGTGAATCGTAAGCATGCTAATGGATAGATAACAAACATAAATATTCATAAAATACATTATGTTATTTAAATAGAAAACTTGAGCTATTATGCTACATTGAGCTAGATGCCAGTGGAACAAAGACCAGCAAGTCAAAAAAATGAACTGTTGTGACCATGATAAATGGCAAAAATAGAACTTCAATTGAACTTTCTACAACATAAAGCATTGCAATTCAGGAGTCATGGTTGAACACTAAAAAGGGWGTGTTATTTAAACATTATGGTCGACGGAAAAGCGGTATGGGCCTATTGTTACAGCAAAGGACGACGTGTGATTACATGCAGTTCGCCACAAATATGCATTCCTTCATCATAATCGACGCCTCCACTGTTGACCTCACGAAAGACAACTKCGAACTGCATCTACAGATGTTGGAACTACTTAGTCCACTATAGTGACACAATCTCAACATTTCATCCATCTGTTGAAAACTCTTGGTTGATGGTCGTCCTCCATAGCTCTCCACCTCCACCTCCCCCACGACTATTTGACTTGCCTCCGATCATTTTCTCCCACATCAACTCCTTCATGATAACGTGCATGTCCTCTTTACACAATGCAAATACAATGTGCTCAAGATATGTAATTATTACTAGAMATTAAACACTATAATCATTAACCAGATGTTTTGGTAACTCATAGGGATAAAATAATGGTTTTAAGGTTTTAACCGGTGGTGGCAACGTCTCCATGTTGCTAGTAGGGGTGCTCATGGGTTGGGTTGATCGGGTTGAAAACATTTGAACAACCCAACCCAATGCTTGCGGTTTGGAAAATCTTAACCCAACCCAAACCAAACCAAAGTGCAACCCAACCCAACCCAACCCAACCTGTATAGGTTAGTCGGGTTGATACTTTGTTACATTAAAATATTTTTTTTTAACCTTGAATATGTTATTTCTCTACTAATAATTTCTTTTTCATCATCAACCATTTAATACAACTTATCCATATTTCTTACATATATCAATTCATATAATTTTCTCAATTTACATATATATTATATTCACAGTTATTGAACATATATAAGAATGACTATAGAGAGATGTGAATAGATCGAAAATATGTATATATGAAAAGCAAACATGATAGTGTAATTGTCTAATGTATATTAATATAAATTCAACAATTATATTAAATCTAAGAAATAAAAGAAAATATCGRGTTCATCGGGTTGGGTTGGGTTCAAATAATAGTAACCCAATACCTACAGTTTGACAATTTTACAATTCGATTAGACATCAGGTTGCTTCGGGTTGGGTTTTTTCGYGTTGGGTTGGGTTGATCGGGTTGGTCGGGTTTTTGAGAAACCCCTAGTTGCTAATAGTCGTCAAGACACACACTTCTGACCTCGATGACAAGTGATGAACCAAAGGTGTCARCAGTAACCACCACAACCATCAYCCTCGTAGCGATCCTCCGACGAACATTTTATCCAAGTATCCTCATTCTCCTCACTCACCATCACACTCTTCTGACTACCGTAAACCCGCCTCATTATCGATCAACTATGTTAYGACAAAATCAAATCCTTCAATCATCTCTTAGATAAAAGGGAAAAAGTATAGCAAATCACACATGTGTCGAGTCGGTGCTAACTCGAGCAATGTGACGGGAAACATGGTACTCTGGTGGAAGAAGCCAACTCAATAGGCATCATGCCTGAGCTGCCCGATWATTGACCTTGTGGTTGTAGGATGTTGCCATGTGGAAAATGCGATGTTATAAGTTTCAGAGTTATTAAATATATCGAAACGTATTGAAAATCTGAATAAAGCTAACCGATAGATTTCCCAAAGGTATTTTTTAAAATAGAGAATAAAAAATCAAAATCTATACAAAGGAATCTCCAACAGATTCATCCTTTTAAAGAATCTAACATTGATTATAATATTAAAATAATTGATTCATCTATCAAAATATTATTTCTCWCGTTAAATATTTATTTTTAAAATTTATTATTGATGGTCTTACTTGATAATCATTTTTGCATGTTGTCTATATTTGAAAAAAAAACTCTTTCTCTTTTCTACCTTCTCAATTTTAAAGATAGTTTTAGGAAACTATTGCAGCAATATATTAACTTAAAATACTCATCCGAAATTRTTGAAGATAGTCAAAGAGTCATCTSCGGGCCAATCATGGTTACCACATTATTGGTTTTGAGAAACAGCTTGAGCCCACTTCACTAACTTAGGTTTGGTTAATCTATTGATCTTGTTGGCCCACCAAGCCCAACAACACACCATTTTTCTACTAAAGATGGAATTGACCTGACCGATTTGGATCAGTTATGGTCCGAAACCAGTTACACTTTTTATGGAAATTCAAGACTTATTTGGGACCGGAAGAGAAATTATAGCACTTCCACTTTGRTCAGTTTGTCTGTAGTAACATATAACAAGTTTCTAGTTCAGAAGTWGAAATCARTGTTACCTTCTCAATTGCAGCATCATCTAGGATAACTACAKGACATTTGCATCCATAAGTAGGAGCAGCTATTGCAAATCTAATTCTTCAAAGTAATCTTAAACTTCATAGAAGTATAAATATATAGATAAACCTGCTCAAATTCGAGAGTGTAACTGGATACCTAGTTTTGCTCAAATTCAATCAATACAGAAACCATAAACAAAGACGGATCTTGTAGATGGTGAAGTGACCTAACAAGGCCAGGAACTGAACATTCCTATTATTTTTTCTTCATGGGTTATTCGTAATTGCTTACAGTACAGATGCTTCTATGAAGTTTCTTTCTTTTCTACAGCTGATAAAAATCGTTGCTTTAGACGATGCATATGTAGAAAGCCCATTAGTCTATTATTTACTAGCGAATTTGCATAGGCCACCTTGAATGGCGTGAGCCGCATGCAGGGAGACCTGCACGGGTCGGGTGGTTTATTGGGCCTCCCCCGCGCAAAAGATTACAAAAAAAAAACCAAAATCTAATAAAAAGTTACAAAAAACCCCAAATGCAACCCACACTTCTCTCACTCATTTCATCAAACACATTATGTGAATAGACATTTTTGTCAAAGAAAAAGATAGGGATGGACATTTGGTCGGTT